TTCTAATGGTGTTTGTAAATAGGATCACAAGTCCGCATCTTGTACAGCAATTAACCACTAAGAAGAATATATGCAGTGTATTATTTGTTGAAAAAAAATAAAATAAAAAAAATAAAATAAAATCAATGTTAAGTCTAACAATATTAGAAAAGCTTGCAACAAGTATTAACATAAATTAAATTTCTAAAAGTATGTTAATGTTTTATATAAAAAGAACTGTTTCAAGATCAAAAAGACATACTTTTTTTCCAAATTGTATTCTTTTTTCTCTTTACTTAAAATTAATAATTATATAACATACTAAAATTGCAGACAAATATTGAAATGTGAAAGATGTAAGATATAGACAGTGAATTTTAGAGAAATATTTCTGAACTGAATACATAGCATGAGATTAATATATTGCATAGTGTAAATAATTTACAAACTTAAATGAATATAACAATAAAAATTGTCCAAAATAAAAATGAAGAATTTACAGATCAGTCATATAAGAGTGCACTCTGTTCCAAAATCAAGAAACTTATACTCATATAATTAGAATTCTCAAAGTAGAAAGGGGTAGGCAATAAATACTTAAAAGATTTAAAAATTTCTGAATTTATTTGAAATTATAGTACATTTCCAAGAAAAATGAACCTTTTGCACAAGACATTTGAACAAAATCATACCAAGATACACAAATATGAAACTGTCATAAACTAATTGTAAACAAAAAAATTATCACAGCATACACATAAAAATATTAGGTATGGAAGAACAAAATTAAATAGCATCTTATTCCACATTAAAAAAAAAAAGCAAGTTTGTAAGAAACTACTAATTAATTCAAAAGACTAAAATAAAAAAAAGATCTGTCCCCACTGAATTTTATAGTTAGCTAACATATCTTTGGAAACTAAAAGTAAAATATTTTCCAGTTATACAAACTTGAAATATTTTAATATCTCCAGATGTAGCATATAGAAAATAACAAAGAGCATAATCCAGAAGGCAAGAGCAGTTGAGGTATGGTCCTGGATAAAAAATAAAGAGCTCTCAAAATGGTAGCTATGTAAGACTATGTAAATTACATTAGGTAAACCCATTTAAAAGGTCATTGACAATTTATATAAAACATTATCAATCTTATGTTTGATACATATTTTTTCATATGTGTGTGTGTGTGTTTGCACGCACCTGTGTAAAAGACAAGGGAGAAGTAATATAAAGTCAATGGAAAATGGAAATATACTTTTTAAAATTTCTAATACTAGGAGAAAATATCATACCATGTTTTATAAGTACATTGTAAGAAAGAGACATACTTTTTAAAAGTATCACTAGACAATAAAACACACCCTAGGAGCTGTTACTTTGTAAAAAAAAAAACCTAATATAGCAACAATTTCCTTATTACCCACTTTAAAATCTAATATATACAAAAAGTAAATACATTTGAGTAATACATAACTTTAAAAAACCAACTCAACCTATATGGTTTCTGTTTTAGTTTTGTTACTCTCCAGATATTCACCATATATTTAGAGAGGTACAACATCCCAGATAAACTTACAGTTTTGCATGTTCACTTCAAAATCAATCAGTTTGTGTAAAACTTAAACAAATGCTCAGCAAGACAAAAATATTCTCAGATACACTGTTTTACAATACAAATTATTGAAAGGTAATGATCTAGAATATTAAAATTTCAGCTTTTGTGAATCTCTCTTCTTTCTAAGCCACTTCTTTCACTAATGGGTATTATTATTTTACCTTGAAGTAGCCTTCTTCAGTAGCTTTTTAATCTTACTAATTTTGCAGGTATATTTTTCATGGATAACCACAAACGCATTACAACCATCTGGTGGGGGCTCATCAGCAGCAATCTAAGATTTCAAAGATGACTGTTAGCTACTGTAGTTAATAATACAGTAATTTTTTAAAAAGCCTAATACATTACTTTGTTTCAAATAAGTCATCCACTACTATTAAGTTATTGTTCTAATTGAAGTTAAAAAATTATATAACAAATATCTTAGAATTTTTTAGAATCCAAGAAATATTTTTATAAAATAAACTTTATCCTTGGAAATACATGCTTCAAAGTTACTGGAATAATTCTAGTAAAATTTTAGTTTATTTGAGTAGTGATTCTAAGTTACTATAAAATACTTACATATTCACTTATAATCAATGACAAAATGATGCTATATTCAATAATAAGCTATGGAACTAAAACAGTAAGTTTGCAGGTCATTCTGAACTATAGGTGGTCACATCAAATAGGTCTATGTACATTAGTAACATACCTTTTTGTATTTTTACACACCTGTTGAAACATCTGAATAGTTGGAGAGTATGCTCTTATAGAGAAAGCAAACTTTAAGAGATTGATGTGTAAATTATCTAAAAACTGTCCAGCTTTCTTCAGGATTAAATTGTAATATGAATAAGCTGATTCTATAAAAAGAAATAAAAAGAAAACCATGTTAGTATTTTATATCTGCTATATCCCTTACTGGAAAGCTAACTTAATCACTATGATATAGTCATTTTTGTGTTTGGTTAGAGAAAATGGAAAATCGAAGTGTCTGTTATTATATTACTATAATTTTGTTTCTTTCAGTGACCACCAAGCAAGTAGCACAATGTCAGGCAAAAGTAACCTGGCTGTTAACATCTGTCTGGAATGTGTTTACATTTCAGACCAATCCATCCCAATTCTGTAGGGTTACAATATAAGGACGATAGTTCATTATACAATTTAAGAGAAGAATTATAAATAGTAAAATGCATTAAAGAATTATAGTTAAGAAACATTACAGTATACTCATGATGAAATTCTACTGCAATTTGGTGCAGACAGCTAAGTGTTTAGGGTGTCCGTAATACTTTAGGAGGTAAAATGTGAATCAGGACCATTTGCTCTTCATAAGCAAATGTCATCTTGTCTGGAACTGGAACAAACTAACCTGAGCTGCTGCTTCCTTCCTCTAAACCCATCTCCAAAAAGCCTAAAGACACTAAAGGGAAGGACAGATCCTAGAATTCAATTTTAAAACTCTCTTAACAGCCCCCAAGCATACAGAGAACTCTTGAAGAGACAAAGGCAGAAAACAATGGATGACCCGAGCTGGAGGGGCCAGCTAGCACCAATGAAGACAAGAAGGGAAAGGAAGAACTGTCTCTGTGTGCAATCATTATCTGCATTGTTCTGTGTCAGAAAACTGTAGCTCCACTCCAGGTTCAGCCAGAGGTAAAAAGGTTAAAAAGGGCAGGTATGGAGTGCACTTGGTGTGAGCATCTATAGTTTGGACCCTGGATATTTTCTGGTAAAGTCTTTACTCTTCTGTATCTGCACACTGGGCTACTGTCATAATCTTCCTATACAAAAAAGCAGAGCTGGAGTAGATGTTATCGGCTCCTAGGGTCAGGGTTCCCAGATATGAAGACAGATGACAAAAGACAATGGCTGAAGCCAGGCCATAACACTAAATAATCTCTTTCTCAGAGAGAGAGAAGGATGATATGGTTGGAATAAAACATTCTGGGACCTGGGGTATTGGACTGCTTGCTGACTGCAATAATGTTTGTTACTTAGCCAAAACTACTAGGCTGTTGACCTTCAGGTTCCCTTGTGGGACCTGAGACTCAGCAAACGAATGCAAATATGTGGGCATTACAGCTTTTGTGTGAGTAATCAAGTCTTCTGCTTCTGATCCAGGGATCGTATCTCTGCCACCATCCATGAAAATTATCTTTTAGCCTTCCAAGTAGGGAAACATCTTAGATTCTTTAGAGTACTTACATTTACAACAAAAATGGAATGCTAACAAATACAGGCATTTCTTCAAAATAAAACAGACTCCAATGGTTCAGTTATTAGGATTTGAGAGATATTCTTGGGCACTGATAGAATACTAACAAAACTGTAGAGTTAATCCATTTCATTGTCCTTTAATGAAGAGAAAATGAAGAAAGGAGGTAAACAGGCCAGAAACTGGGAATTAAGTACAGCTATTTCCCCAACATCTTCTTGGTGGCACCTTATAACAAAACTGTTCTTCTAGTCAATCCTGCCAACCTACAGCTGTCCAAAGAAGAGAGTCAGCAGGAGTACTGCCGCACATGTAAGCTAGCCTAGGCTACACAGTGAGTTCAAGACCAGCATGGACTACAGAGCAAGACTCCACAAAATTTGATAGTTATCGTATTTAATTTCTCATTTACACTAATTTTCCCTTGCTTAATAAAATAAGGTCAATTATGTCATCTGTGTTTTTAGACTCTCACCATTATTAATAAATTCAACAGAATAATTTTAGTGACTAGCACAATTTCCTTTAGGCTCAACCTAAAAATATCTCTTACAAGTAGAATCTAGGTACTTCTGAGCTGATATTCCAACTTGTTAATGATCTGCCATCAGACTGTACAAGTGCTTTGTTTCATTTAGATATAAAATGCTTCAACACCTAAGGAACTTAAGAGTTCAAAACTGAAAAGAATAATTTTTAAATTGGCTTGCTAACAAAAAGTAGCATTGAATAAGGCCATAAAACATCTATAGAGAAAAATAGATTGAGGACAAATAGGATTTTAGATGAGAGATAGGAAAGTTGATTTTGGATTTTTAAAATAACTATCATGAAAACCTGATACATTAATCTGTCCTATTTTCATCTGATTACAACTAAAATTACTATGCAAATACAAAGACAGTAATTTTTTTGTTTTTTGGAGACAGAGTCTCACTACACAGTTTAGGCTGATCATAAACTTACCATGTAGCCAAGGCTGGTCTCAAACTCATAGTGATCATCCTGACTCAGCCTGCCAAGTGCTGGGATAACAGGCACGTGCCACCACACCCGGCAATATTTTCTTTATTATTTATTACATTACTAAGTAGTCAAAAGTCCTCCAAAACAAACAAACAAACAAATAAACAAACAACCTCCTTTTGGGGGCTGGGGAGATGGCTCAGTGGAATAAGTGCTTCCCTGGTAAGCACAAGGACCTGAGTTCAATCCCCGACTCTGGAAAAAAAAAAAAAAAAGTCCTCCACACAGTTCTCTTTATTTCTTAATACTTTCCTTCCCTATGACCTAGCTAAATCCTTATTAATCAATTCAACCCTAAGACTCATTACTGCAAATGCTGTTCTGTTGCTGGATTACTGACTAGGTGGCTTTTTTATGTGTTCATGTTGTGCATATCCCTATTAAAGTGCACATTGCCTAACAGTAAACTTCATTATCTTGCTGTCTCCATATTACAGTCCTTAGAACATGTGTAATATTTATTCATCTTTGTATTTCCAGCAAGAAGAGCCCAGTATCTCTTGTGACTAAAACAATGATTACTAAATAATGTAGAATTTCACAAAGATTTTTTTTTTTTAATTTTAGGGAAAGGTCTACAGGGTGTTCAGAGTCTCACTACTAGATAGGACTTGTAGTGATTCGCCTGTTTACAGCCTCCTAAGAGGTGGGATTACAGGCATGCACCATGCCCAGTCTCAATTGCCCTCTCAATATGCCCGGCGGATGGGGCCCCGCATGGCAGGCCCGGGGATTGAACCCCCGGCTCCTGCACCTGCTTGCAGGCACTTTAACCTGCTGAGCTATTTGGCCAACCCTCAGAGAGCTTTTTAAGGCTTGCCCTCAAAAAGCCTGGTAACCAATGTGTTTTCATTTTATTATAAGATAGAGTTAGTAAGTCCTGTTTTTATGTATGTTTGAGAATATATATTTCTACTTACAGATGTATATCTTCCTCAGAATTAGCAAGTATTAATGTATTTATTAGGAAGGTTAACAGAGTAAAGAACCTGTAATCCTAGCACTCTGGAGGCTGAGGTAGTAAGTTTACCAAAAGTTTGAGGCCAACATGAGCTACATAGTGAGTTCAGGTCCATCCTGAACTACATAGCCAGATGTTGTCTCAAAAAACAAAACAAACATAAAGATAAATGTTATGAAAATAAAATTTTACTAGTGAAAGCTAAAAGCTTAATTATTCCAAACAAATGTTTTCTTGTCACTACAGACAACTGATAGGAACATGGGCTACTTTAAGGATGAAATCTTTACCAATTAAACACAGAAAATTTTTTACCTTGTGTGATTAAATAATGCCTGATTTAACACTTATTTTTGCAATCAGAAATAAAATCAGGTGCACAAATATACTCCGGATAATAAAAATGTAATACTCAGTTTAGTATACACTTTAATGTGCACCACAAAGAGTGAACCTTAATGTAAACTATGGACTTTGGATAATAATAATGTATCATTTTGGTTCAATAACCCCAACAAATGAACCATTCTGGTAAGAAATGCCAACCACAAGGAAGTTATTCATATGAAGGCAAAATAGGAAATTTCTGTATTTTCTGCTCACTTTTACTATAAACTTAAAACTGCTTTAAAAATAAATTCTAATTAAAAAAAGAAAAGCACTACTACCAGATTCAAAACTAAGAGTATTTCAAGTAAATGTATGTAAAAGGAAAGCTACAACTCAACAATTTTTACTTTTTTATTCTAATGCATTAGCCAACATCCATATGTTATGTTCTGTGTATAGGTGTTTCCTGAAAGCCTCAGGCAGTCATGGGGCAGCTTCTTGAGTTTATGGTTCATTTTGTGGGTGTAGATGCTGCACCTGCCCTGGGGCAGGTAATTTGCATTACAATGAGCTGCTGCCACTCCCTTCTCTCTCGCTCTTTGCCTCTTCTAGGAAAGGCTGTTCTCTGCCCTGTGCCACTAGGCCTTGGGGCCAGCCAGCCGAGTATGGACTGAAACCTCCAGTAATCTTTCCTTCCCTAATTTTGGAGTATCTGTCCCAGCAATGAGAGAAGAGTAACTGAGACACCATGTAATTATTAATTATATGAGTTTACTCACAATAAAATATTAAGGCCTTATGCTTTTGGAAATGGATACTTGGAAATTGTTTCCATTAAATACCTTCTAAAATTTAATGTTCAGATTTACTAACCCAATTCAACATTTAGTTAATTATCACCATTCAAGAAAATAAAGCCAATATGTGCACATAATTACACGTTACTTACCTCTTTGCTTATAAATTGATAATTCTCGTACGGTTTCCAAAAACTGCCAAAATTTTTCATTGCTTTCTTCTGCCATAAATTCACTATTAAAAAAATTAGTTAATGGAAAAAAATGTTTCAGATACTACATATTTTAGAATTAAATTATATGATAATTACAAATTCTCCTCAAATTAATGTCAAAATATTGGCTTCCATTCACTGTAACACAAAATTTATGATTTTTACCTCAGGCATCATTTTGAACTACAGACATATAATAATGCCAGGAAGTCTGCATATGAAATTACTTTTGGCCTTTCTTTACAACCAATACTATAAATTGGATAATTTATTTTCTCTCTCCATATAAGACAGCTTTGAGAAATATAATTTAATGATAATGAAGAGCATTATATAAAATTCATTTACTTATTTGTATGATCTTTTACTACTTAAAGCAATAAAGATCTTAATTAAAAAAAATTGGGAATCCATGTGTATTACAGTAGGCCTTTGCCTTGAAGCCTAAAGAAGCTTTTATTTTCTTGCACAAGAAAGTAAAGAGAAAATGGTCAAAACCTTTTAGAAATTAAAAAATAAAAGGCTGTGCAAAATAAAGTGTAAGACACTAAGAACAAGTAAAGCAGAAAGAGCCACTAAGCAATGATACACATCCTTTGTTACTGTCCACGTCATCTTTCTCTCTAGCCTTGGTAAAGTTTAACACTCAGTAAAAATGCAAAGCATGGAGAACATACAACACACATACAGAACAACTTATTCTTGTATTAGTATGACAGATCTGAGATGCCCAACTTATACTATGAACCATAGATAGAGTACGAGCCTTCAAAATGATCATCTTAACAAAGTACTCCCACTTATTTCCTTAACATACCACTGCCTTTAAGAATACTGGAAATCTAGAATTTCCATCTCAATGCCAGGTTTCAGCTCAAATGGCTGAGTATATCCACGAATCACAGGCCTAACCTATGCAGCGAAGGACTGTCAAACCATAGTCTTGGTCTTCTGTCCAGAGCACATATTTCCATGGTTTCATAACTTTAGCATTCTTTTTTATATGAACAGACTGAGCAACTTCCAATTATCAACTGTTAGCTCCTTTTTCCTTAATTATTTCTTTACTATATCTTTCCTTTCTTACTGGACCTGAAGCAGCAGAAGAAATTTAGTAGCACCTTCAACATGTTTGGAAATCTTTTCAGTCAACTATCCAATTTGCTGCTTCAAGGTGTTTTTTTTTTTGTGTTTTTTTTTTAAACCAACTATTAACTCCCCACCTAACCAGTATTCTGCTGCTAAATAACAAGGGTCATCTTCCTTCCTGTTTCTAGTAACATGTACCTCAGTTCCTTTTGAGCCCTTGCCAGAACTCCCAGCGAGGTTATATGTCTATCAACATCATGTATTTTCCAAGAAGACAGCACGTAGTCCTGTCATGCTTATTTGTTATAGGTCTTCACTAGAATTACACTTACACCAATATTTTCCATTTGGCAGTCTCCTCAAGCTTACTTGGGCTTTTTCTACCACATTTCTCAAACATTTTCCAGCCTCTGTTCAATTCCACAGCTATACTACACTTTTAGGTAGCTGTTATAGCAAAATCCTACTTTCTACCACCGAAATCGGTATTAGTTTCCTAGAGCCTTTGTAACATTATAAAAAATTAAGTGGCTAGAAATAATAGGGAACTCATTTTCTCATGATTCTGGGAGAGCAGATATTGAAAAATTAAGGAGTTGTTAAAGCTACATTCCTTTTGAGGCTCTAGGGCAACTATTGTTTCCTCTTCTGGCTTTGATGGTTTCAAATGTTCCTTGGCTTGAGGATGATTAATTCCATTTTCTAACTCCACTCAATCTTGAAATCTCTTACAAGGTCATTCTGGAGTCCACCCAGATATCCCACTATTAACCAAGATCCTTAATTACAATTATAAAGACCTCTTATAAGGTGCCATTCGCAGGCTTGTGAGTTAGAATGTGGACCTATCTTTGAGGGGGCCAGAGCCTACAGAAACTACTCCGGACACATTCAGTTTTAAGCCAACTACTTTTGTTCTTCCACCAGAGTAGTAGTAAGTAGTTTTAAAAAGAGCCATCATTATCCTAATGTATTGTATTTACTCGATGCTCATTCTATCCACCACAATAAGGTTAGTACAACACACCTGAGCCAGGCTGGGAAGGACCTAGGTTGGGAATGTCCTACAGGAATTCCAATCCAGACTCAAGCACTAAATACAAACTTGGACACTGCAACCAGCCTAAAGTTGAGATAATTTAGACAGATTTGAGACTAAGTATGGGATCAGTTGCAGGGAAGCTCTGAAACAGATGGGGAAAGGATTATACAAAGGAACATATTTGGGGCCAGGGAGATGGCTCAGTAGAATAAAATAAGCGCTTCCCTGGTAAGCGCAAGGGCCTGAGTTCAATCCACAGTTCCACCAAAAAAAGGAAAAAAGCAATATATTTAGCTATAATCATTTATTATCTCAAACTGCTTTAACATCAAGTAAATACAATGCATTAGAGTAATGATGTCTCTCTTTAAGACCACTCACAACGACTCTGGTGGAAGAACAAAAGTAGTTGGCTTAAAAGTGCTTAATGTGTCTGGAGTAGTTTCTGTAGACTCTGTAGGCTCTGACCCACATGACTGTTTTGGGCTAATACCATACTGTTTTTATCATTGCAGCTTTGCAGTATAACTTGAAATCTAGGACAATGATGCTTCTTAAGTTGTCCTTGTTGCCCAGGATTGTTTTTGCTATTCTGGGTCTCTTCTGGTTCTATATGAATGGATTTTTAATAAAAGTGGCGTTTATACACAATGGAATATTACTGGTACAAAGGATAAATGAGCCATTTGAAGAATGGATGCACTTTGAGGCCACAACCTTAAGTGAAACAAATCAGATACACAAGCTTAAATATCACACGGTTTCTTTATATAAGAAACTCAAACTATAAAGAACAGAATAAAATCAGACAATAATCAATAGTGAGATAAATCTTTTGCAAAAGGGAAGGAGACCAAGAAATGGATGGAAGAGGGAGGGAGAGGTGAAGGAGACAAAAAATTAAGATTTGTTTATAATCCACATGTACAAATAAAAATACAAATTAGAAAAAAAAAATCCTTCATACCCACTAAAAGAAATGTTTCTCTTCTGTTTAGTACCATATTAAGGGATAGGTGTCATTCCTGCAGACAGCCACACTTTATAAATTGTAGTGGAAGAGATTTAAAAAACAAATAATTGGTGAGCAGCGAGCCCAGGATGGCGTGGCCTGACGGCAGGTATGAACCTAGATGTTCCAGCAGTCTCTCCTTTAATGCCAGGAGTAAAAGCCACACCCAGCCCCTTTTTTTCTCCTCTAAAGTAAGTGCTGCACGCCACAGGTGAGGCCCAGAGCGGCGCCCGGCCTGGGAAGCCGTCGCCAGGGGGCGCTGCCGAGAGGCCCGCCGTGCGGGCCGCGGGGGATGCTCGGGGCGCCGAGAGCCGGACGCCGGGGCGCA